TATATATATATATATATATATACACACACACACACACACACACACATATATACATATATATATGTATGTATATGTACACACACACATATATATTTAAGAGTTATTTAATTTTATTTATTATTATTATTCAGTTTGTCCAAAGAGAGAGAGAGAGAGAGCAAACAAGCTACCAGGTCTAGGACATCAAGTCAGTCAGGTGGGAGTCCAGTGCCTTAACTACCATGTCACCTTCTGGCTGACCCCACCTCAGCACATTTTTAAGGTTCACCCGTGTGGCATGTGTACAGTTGTTTTTATTGTTGAGAGAACTATTTTACACTTTAATTTTTATCATATGATGGATATTTGGATTTTTTTCAAATTGAGCTGTTAGTATAAAGCTGCTGTGACTTTTCATGTATAGGTCTCGGTACATATTTTTATGTGTCTTATAAGTAAATGCCTAAGAGTGATATTATTGGGTCACTAGATTTTCAAAATAGTTATGCAGAAAGAGCTTGCATTCTTTCTTTTTTTCTCTCTTTGTTTCAATGATTTGCCGGAGGATACATGTGCTTGCCAGAGAGTGAGTGAGAAAGCACCCATCATGGGGAGTGATCAGGCCACAGTGCCTTCCTTCTCCATTTCTCCGTCCTTTTAGGATTTGGGCACGTAAGCCCACATGCCCAGCATGTTTGTCTAAGCTGCCTGAGATTTGAACTGTGTGATTGGCCCTGTGGAATCCAGTTGCCTTAACTACTAGGCCCCTCTGTAGTTTCTTATAAAGTGGTTGTACATTTTACATTCCTTCTGCATCTAAGGAAAGTTCTACATCTCTGGTTTTTAAAATAATTATTTAATTTTATTTATTAGTTTTTTAAAATTTTAATTTGTTGTGAGGCATGTGCACTCACCAGAGAGAAACACAGAGACAGACAGACAGACAGACAGACACATAGAAAGCGAGCAAGCAGCCAGGTCCAAAACACAAACTGCAGTTGGCCATGTGCGAGTGCAGCTCCTTGACCACCATGCCACCTGCTAGCCCCATCTTTGGTACTGTTAATCTCTCAAAATTTAATCACCAGATTGGGTGTGTCTTTTGGCTTATTTGCATTTTGCTGATGATTAGTGATCTTGAACATTTTTTCATTTCTGTAGTGGCCACTGAATACTTCCCAAATGTTCAAATCTTTCACCTGTTTTTAAAGAAATCCTAAGATTTTTTCCTGTTCTTTGTCAGTTGAAATTGTATTATGAATGTTAAGTTTTAAACAGTCCAAATGAATTGCTGAAGAATTACTATTCATATAAATATTTGTCTTTTTTTTTTTTTGGTGAGAGATTTTTGCTATAGGGTGCGTGCGCTCCCCAGAAAGAGAGAGAGAGAGAGAGAGAAGTCACCCTCCCACCCACCCATAGGGGATGGCTATAGTGCAGTCCATTCTCTTGGGATCTTGGTCACATGCTCATGTGCCCAGCGTGATTTTCAAGCCTCCAGGTCTGGGACTCAAACCTCGGATGGCCATGTTATATAGTCCAGTGGTGTAACCATTAAGCCATCTGCTTGTCCTCGCCGTATACATATAATCTAGTGAACACCTGTCTTATTGTATGCCAAGCACCGTCCAATATACTAGGAATTTGATGCTGAGTTGTCTTTAGGGAGGTGGTGAGGAAGGATGATAGAGAATTTGGGGGCCATGTTTTCATGCAATCTGGGGTTAGAAAAAATCGAGAGCCTAATGAAATGTTTTCTTCTCTCCAGAACAAACAGTCCCAATTAGAAGCCACCTCATGGAATTAGGTCTAACAGCAGCTAAATTTGCTAGAAAACGTGGGAATGTGTCACTTGCAACCAGACTGCTGGCACAGTGCAGTGAAGTTCAGCTGGGAAAAACCACCACTGCACAGGACCTAGTCCAGCACTTTAAGAAACTGTCAACTCAGGGTCAAGTGGATGAGAAATGGGGACCAGAACTTGATATTGAAAAAACCAAACTGCTGTATACAGCAGGTTAGTAAATGGAATTGTGGTTAGTACACAAATATAAAAATCATGTGTGTGAATATTACTGTGTTTGGTGGGAGGCAGTAATCGAAAAGATGATTACAGACAATCCTAGGCTTAATAATAGTTAAACTTAAGAGTTTTTTACTTTGCAGTGTGATGTGAAAACTCTACACATTTGAGAAGTACTGAATGTACTGAATAACATACATTCTGGTTATGGCATTCAGTAAATTACATGAGCTGTTCCACAATTTATTATAAAATAGGCTTTATGTTAGACGATTTTGCTAATGTAAGTATTCTGAGCATGTTTAAGATTGGTAGACCAAGGTATGCTTTTTGGTAGGTTTTTAGCTGTATTCAGTGCATTTTGACTTAATTGGAATATAACTCCTTTGTAAGTTGAGGGGTTTCATATTCCCAGCTGTTGCAGTACATTCGTGTCCTGAATAAAAGTGTGTACTTGACTTAACCGCTATAATTCTGTGTTTTTAGAAGAAATAATTTTGTTCTAGAGATTACCAATTATTACTGAAATTATGTGTATGAAAAAGTTCATTATTTTACTCTGAAATAATTTCAGTTATTTGCTTTTAATAGTTCTAAGTGCCGATTTTGTTTTGTTTTCTGTAGGCCAGTCAACACATGCAATGGAAATGTTGAGCTCTTGTGCCATTTCTTTTTGCAAGTCTGCAAAAGCTGAATATGCAGTTGCAAAGTCAATTCTGACACTGGCTAAATGGATCCAGGCAGAATGGAAAGAGATTTCAGGACAGCTGAAACAGGTTTATAGAGCTCAGCAGCAACAGAACTTCACAGGTCTTTCTACTTTATCTAAAAATATACTCACTTTAATAGAACTGCCATCTGTTAATACAATGGAAGAAGAGTATCCTCGGATTGAGAGTGAATCTACTGGTAGGTTTCTTTTACTAAAGTACTAATTTTAGAAGTTTCCCTATTTTAAAGTTTACTACATTATATTGACTAAAATTTGCCACAAAAAATATGTCTGTGGAAATTTGATAGCATATTGTTTGGAACTCAGACACATTTATCCCATTTTGGAAGTTGGTGAACTCTGCCCCCAGGCCATACTTCCAGCCTTCCAGATTCTAATTGCTTTAAGGGACTTAGGTGTAAGATATTTTTCCTTTTTAAAATTTGCTAAAGTGCCGTGGGCTTGCCTAAGAGAGACTGGGGTGTGGGAAGTGAGAAAGTACTCCCCCCCCGGTGGGGGTGGTGGTGGTGTGATGACCCTATGAAAATTCCCTATCTCCCATTCTTTTCTTGGGATTTTGGGCATGCTCACACATATATCAGTGTGCCTTTCAAGCTGCCAGGTTTGGGATTCGAACTATGCACTCAACCATGTGGGTTCCAGCTGCCCCAACCTACCACACCACTAGCTGGCCCAGCTTAGATGTTTTTGCTAGCAATAAGGTCTTGTCCCTGCTATCTAAAATTTCACCTCGCCTTAAAGAACCACTAAGGTAAAATAGTAACCTGTTTTCCCCTTGATTGGTAGAGTGTAGAAGATAGAAATATTCAAGTTTCCCTTTTTGACACTAACTCTAGCGACAGAATGTTACCTGACAAATAGAGTGTTGGGTTCATTTAATCAGTGTTTGAGTATCTGTTGTGGGAGGCACTATTGCCTTGTTTTTACAGTTTAGGGGATAATTATCTCTTCATTGAAATATGAGAATGTACTACCTTTTTTTATATATATATACTTAGGGTTTTAATTACATTGGTCTTATAAAATGATTCTAATATACTATTATAGGATCTTAATATTCATAAGTCTAATGATCATTATAAACCTTCGTCTTGGCATATGCATTATAGCAGGCAATTTTTTCACCTCTAAAATGAAATAGTTTTGCCTCATTAGTCTCTATGATTGAATGAGATGGTTTACTCATCACCTATGTATTATTTTTGCCAGAATATTTAAGATGAATCTAATCGTGAGGAATTAGCCAGTCATATCCAGAATGCAAGACATTCTACAGCACATCTGACCCCTGAACTGTTTATAAAGTTCAGTGTCCTAAAAGACACAGATGTGTTCCATAGGTGATTAAACTTACTTGAGAAGTTAAGAGATTTATTTCAACATAACAACCTTTTAGAAAAGAATAATCCAGACTTGTGCCTTATCAAATTATGTATGATGCTGTGGGATTTATTGATTGCTTGTTGATAATAAAAAAATGTTAATGGAAATGCCATCAGAAATTTATGAATATAACATTGCTGAGATTTTTTAAATTATTTTTTCCTCCATCATGGCAGTACACATTGGAGTTGGAGAACCTGACTTCATTTTGGGACAGTTGTATCACCTCTCTTCAGTACAGGCACCTGAAGTAGCCAAATCTTGGGCAGCATTGGCTAGTTGGGCTTATAGGTGGGGCAGAAAGGTGGTTGACAATGCCAGGTACGTATGTTTAAATGTGTAACTGTTGTTATTCTTTAAGTTTTTGTCATAGGGCTCATGAGCTTATTGGAGAGAGCCAGAGAGACAGTGAGAGGGAAGGTGAGAAATTATCCCCCAAGGTACTGGCCATGCAACAGTACCTTCTCCATTCTCTTCCTTTGGGCATGTATGCACTTGCACTCGGTACAGTTCTTAAGCCACCAGATCTGAGTCTCCAAACATGGTCAGCTTATAGGGAGTCCGGTACCTCAAACGTTACACCACCTACTGGCCCCAGTGTAACTTTTTTTTTTTAAGGGACATTTTTGCTATAGGGCACATGTACTTGTGGAAGAGACAGACAGACAGAAAGTGAGAAGTGAGAAATCACCCGTCCCCTGGCAGAGGGTTGGCCATGCCACAATCCCTTCTCCTCCGTTTTCCTATTGGGATTTTGGGCACACATGCATACATGCCCAGTGTGAGTTTCAAGCCTCTGGGTCTGGGACTCAGACCGTGGTTATCCATATGGGAGTCCAGCAACATAACCATTATGCCATTTGCTCATCCCAATGTAACTTATTTCTGATGTATTTAAAACAGATTTTCTGTTGATATGGTGAAATTTTGGTAACTGAAATACTGATGACTTCTTTATTTTTATAGTCAGGGAGAAGGTGTTCGTCTGTTGCCTAGAGAAAAATCTGAAGTTCAAAATCTGCTTCCAGACACTATAAGTGAAGAAGAGAAAGAGAGAATATATGGTATTCTTGGACAGGCT